CGAGGGTTCGATTTCTTTTTTTTTTTTTTAATATTTATGTTAGAAGGTGTTAGGGTTTGCAGAAGGCCAAAGGGAAGGAAGAAGATGAAAGGGAAGAAGATGAAAGGAAGAAAATAAGAAAAAAAGGGAAAAGGAAATATTTTAAGGTTTTTTTTGCCATGTCATTATTTTTTTTGCCATATCATTCTTTTTTTGCCATGCTGTCATCTATTTCCGTCAGGTAATGGGACACGTCAATCAATTTTTAACGGAAGGACCAAATCGGGGTAAAAATGGTAAACAGTAGGGACCAAATCAGGGATTTTTTTAGTTCAGGGATCAAATCGAGGGTCCGTACAATAGTTCAGGGACCAAAAAGGGGTTTTAACCAAATCTATATCAATCTCGAAATGGCTAGCCTTCTAACTTGTCACTTCCCGTGGTTTCCCCGTCCTCGGTTTCACTTCCTGAAATGGTGGACAAGGAAAACTATGAGATAAACTCAGTAAGTAAAATATGAAGTGCCTTTAATTAAACTATAGCATGCCAACAAGTGTAATCACGAAAAACGGTTACAGTGCGGGAACGAAATAAACGTCTCCTCTATAGATCACGGCCAGTATTATAAACCTCCCACTAGCAGGCACACTATTTGCTGGTGTATAACCCCCACTAGCAGGGTCACTGAAATACCAGTGTTTAACAACTCCCACTGGCAGGAGGAACTGGCTCTACAGAAATACATGTCGACATGTGCTAGCGTTTATAAACCTCCCACTAGCGGGTACAGTAAAACATAACCATATCGGAGACAAAATAGGCAGAAGTTAACAGAAAAATCACAATTCACAATCATTTTCAAATCATCAGGACAGTCAAATAAACTCCAAGCAGGCATGCTCAAATCAATAAAAAGAATAATAATCTTATTTCAAATCAATCATGCTCATTATTGTATAAAACAGGTTTAGTCTCGCCACCACTTCAAAAATAAGTTAAAATATACTTTTAAAATCAAAGGGTGTTACCATAATTTACTTACCTCAAATCACATAACATAGAAAATTCACTCCATAAGTCGACTCAATCCAAGTACTAGGGAAACCAACGATCAAGAACCTAATCAAAATATTCCAGAATTAATTATCGTACCACGGATTTAAAAGTAAAATCACCATGACTACCCCTAATCGTGATGCTATTTTCTATCAATCTCCACATGACTAGACCTCTCCAAATTTGTTTTTATATTACAAACTAAACATTTAAATCTCCGTTAATGGTTGGCCATCAGTGCGTGAACAGTGCATTTGAACAGTGCATTTGAACAGTGCCTGTGAACAGTAACTGATATTTCCCGAATTCAACTACAGCCAGCTAAAAGACCAGAAAAACGGATATTTCATCAGATTTTTCAGAGCAGAAACGGACTGAAAAGGAGCAGAAAATAGTAGCAAATTGCAGAATTTTCTGCGTGAACAGTAACTGGTCCACATGAACAGTGACTGCACTTCCAAAAATTGACAAAACCATAGCTAATCTCACGGGATTTTCTCCAAAAATCACAGCAGCCAACTCAAGCAATTTACACATGAATTAAGCTTAATTATGCTCTAATTACTACCCAAATTCATCCCCATTTTTCAACGAATTCGGACAGCACATGGGGCAGGAATTAAATGGACAAATTCAGCAATTAATTGATGAAATTTTGGGCTTGGAGGAGCTGTCAACATACCAGAATTCGCAAGCACAACCGGACTGCAGTTTGGGGAAGGCCGGCGGGAAATTGGAGGAGCTTTCATGCCACTACCCAAAAATTGAAAGAAACCAAAAGGGATTAAAGTGCGCCCAAGCCAAATTAAGGCTGAAAAGATGAAGTTCATGTTGTTTCCTTACCAGAAAAACCGAGAAACTCACCCCCATACACGGCAGAGCAGTGGACGGAAGAAGTAGAGCAGGGCAGATCCGAATTTCTGTAGAGAGGGGGGGGGGGATTCTGGGTTCAATTTGTGTTCTAGAGCAAGAAAAGAAGGGAAAAATACCAAGCTTTTACCAATTTTTCCTCAAGGGAGGGCTGCCGGAAACATGCTTCTTGTTCGGCTGCAGGGGGAAGAAAAGAAGAGCAGAAACGCGAAATGGCTGGGGGAAGAAAGAAGGAAGAAAAATCACCCGGTCCTTATCCAAATCCTTTCTCTTTTAAGTCCCTTAAGTTTCAAAATATTTGCATTAGGCCCTAAAATGATATTTTCTTCACAATCAAATCCCTAACTCACACCCATTTATTCTAGAAATTTTTGGGGTATTACAATTTAATAAAAGATAACTCAGGGTCAATGCTCGTCACTATCTAATGATCTCACGACCGCAACTCGATCGTAATCCGCGGGTTTGGTGTGGTTCATAATCCAACCCAAAAAATGTGGATTCCAGATTCCAGATTCCAGATTCCATCATCCATTCGAATTTGATCTAAATTGAACCAATTTTTTAATGGATCCAATCCAATCCAT